ACTGGGCATATCAAGAAGACAAGAGACAACACAGACATCAGTTCAAGACATCTCAGTGGACAAATGTCATGTCAAAAGGGATTTGCACAGTTCATCCCTATTGCAGTTTTGCATTTAAACACCACAGTGTCAAACTGATTACGTCGACAAGAGACACCCCACTCTTCACCTGTTTTGGGTACTGTATGTTTGATGACTGTCCTGTATGTGTTGAGGTAAGCAATGTTGACCTTCCAGGGAGACTGTGTCAGACACGATCGTGAGGAGTTGAAAAGGAGGCCTGTCTGTGGGAAAGAAAGGGAAGTCATTGCAAAAACATTGACTTCAAAAATCCCCCGTTCTCTGTACCTGGAAAACCTTAGTGAACTAGATGAGACTGTGGAGGACTCTGGGTGCAGGGATGAAGTACCAACAACGGGTGTCCTGAAAACAATTTCTCGGGGTGCAAGGAAGAAACACCGCAGAGACAAGAATGAAATGATTAGCCTCCAAAAGATCATTGAAGATGAGCTGCAGGAAGGGGGGGTGTAATCCAAAAGGTGATCCAGTACCCAAAGGGAGTGATGCTGTGGTCTCTGGAGACCATTCAGCTTTTTGCTGGAAGGGCTAAGGAGGACATAGTTTATGTTGATGCAACAGGGAGCATCATTAAAAAGGCAAAGGGTGAAATAGTGGTCAGACATCCTTTGAAAGGTGGGTCGCCAGTCCCAGTGGCCACATTTGTCACATGCGACCACACAACTTCATCTGTGTCATTTTTCCTGGGGTCATTCATGACAGACTGCATCAGATGCCATGGAAGGCATATCAAGAAAAGGTGTGTGATGTACATATGTGATGGATCTCTGGTCCTACCTATACCTATTCTACACCGATGCCTCAGCCACATCATGAAAAATGCAAAGGACCTTTGCCGGAAGCAGTAAGTGGTTTGTTTATGTGTATTTCTGTTTGACATGATAAGGTGTTCAAATGTATTTAACTTGAAGTATGTATTTCCTTTTCTTCCACAGTGCTTACAAACAGTACCACCTGGCTATGCACGTCTTCGGGCTGATGACACAAGCCACCACGCTCCATGAGCTTGATGACATAGTCCGCAGCACTAATGTGGTGTTCTCGAGCTCATGCAGTGGACAGCAGGTTGAAAAACATTTTCACAACCTGCAAAGACTTCTGACCCCCTGAAATAGATGAGAGAAAAATAGAGGAGGAAAACTTGGTGGTAGGTAATCAATTTTAGAAATGGCGCATAGCATTTTGCTCTGTTACTGAAAATGTATGATGAAAGAAGAAACAACATTTATGAGAGGGAGCTGTTGCTTTTTCTAACAAAGGCCGGTGTCACTATAGTCCCACTACTGTTCTCAAGTTCTGTGCTGATAAATTCAAGTTTAAAAACAGCTATAAGCTTCCACAGTCAGTTTTAGATTTTTTAATGTTGGCATTGGTTGTGTGATGTTAAGACGTTTAATGGAATAAATATTACTTTTACTTGTTATATGTTACTTGAGTCAGTGTGAATGTACATGGTAATAGACAATAATATAATATTGTACAATATTTAGATGGTTATAAGTGAATTTAAGAAAAGAAAATCATTGCCTGTTTGGTGCTCCACACCACAACAAATCTAAAATGCTACATTTTGTCTTCCAGAAGGATGTGGGACCAACACTATTCCAAAGGCACTTTGATCTTGTCATACATGACGGAGTTCTGGACCAAAATGGTGAACCAAATGTGAACCTCTGCCCAACATTTGTGCCTTCACTAGAGAGGTACTTTCTGCCCCACGCTGCTCTTTGGTCTAGTATCATGCTAGGTGATTTTATCCTCTGCATTTTCTGTCCCATATTAGTTTGAATACTTTTCTCATTGATCTGTCACTATTCCTGTCATGGATACTTCATAATGTAATGTATTTTATTTGCTAGGTGACCTTAGCCGCCATGGTAAAGGCCCTCTGTATCTAACAAAAGAACGCAGGTAAAATCAATCAATTCAATTATTAATGTATGACAAGTGTGTTGCTCTTATGTACAGAGAGCACGTATTGAGTTGATAAAATAAGAACAATAAGTTACAATTTGTTTTGAATTTTTAGGTCATAACAGAACTTCAGAAAGGACAACCGTACCCAGGGGATCATGGAAAAGAGCCAGTGGGACCTGAAAAGGGTCCGTTTCCAACGACGCACTTTTACCAGGCTTGATGACTTTGTCCACGCATATCGGTTGACACATAATGCCCTTTTAAGGGAGTACAAGGACTCTCTGCGTTCCATTCAGAGGGTAAACTACAAACATTGATTTCCAAGTATATCTAAAAGGGAAATAATATTTTTCCTATGTACTTATGGCTACAAAATACATATGCTGCATCATAAAATGTATGTCATTAGTCAGCTTAAAGAGTACATATGTATATTAGTGTTAGATGTTACCAAAAAATGTATTTTGAACTATTCATCTGTTCTTTAGCCAGTAATCACAGATCATGATAAACATTGTATGTTAAATGTGGTAGTATTATCTTTTAACACCTACTATTATAACCTTGACAACTTCAATGATGCAGTGTACAGTAATCATACCTACTCTCTCCTGAAAAAAGAAACACAGAGTTGACCTTGAATGCTGGAAGCAGAGGAAGCACAAGCGAAGAGGAGTTTATGTGACCCCTCTTTCAAAGGCATTTGTTTTCAAGAGCCACAAAGCAAAGGTAACTAGAGCCCATCTACTGATGATCACACCAGCTGTGACACCTGTCAACATGTTGACGTTCAAGCCACGAATAGCAATTGTACGCATATCAGGATTTCATATGAAGCCAAAAAGGGCATATAATGCACTTTTTGGAGATAACCCATTTCATTATGCAATGTCTTTATATAGTGCAACATGTTTTTCAGTATTTCAATATCCAATCCATAAACCTGTGGTCAACACCATCGTCTTACATTGTGTAAATATAATATATGTAAGTTCATCATTAAATTCATTGTTCACACACAGAGACTACTTCAAAATGAGGAGGATCTGCCACAGTAAAACAGACTGGGGGGACATAAAACTGAAAGGGACTGTCATGCACCACCCAGTCCAACAGGACAGCAGCAGTTGTGGTGTCATAGTCACTATGGTAAGATAAAAAATTGAAGATAAAAATATTTTGAGGACAGCTATCATTTTAAGTCTATACATTTCACTATTGTTATTTGATATACATCACATATTGTGTTATTATTTAGATGACGAAGGCACAACCTCCACAACCTCCAATAATGAGTTTTAGAACAGCCAAAAAAGAAATGGCAGTGCAGCGAAAACAATTTGCTCTGCAAATACTGAAAGCCTGAGGTGTGTGAAAGCATTTTGTACAGTAATTGTATTGTGTTGATGTAGTGTTCAAGATCTAAAATTTGCATTTCTGTATTAGTGTTTAACACAGAAAACAACTGTGCCATGTGTGCAGCAACTAAACCACCTGCTCTAGGGCCTTCCTTCACCGACTGGGTAAGGATTATGTAACTCTCTCTCTATCAGCAAATTGTAGCATTTTAACTAAATTGGGCATTAAAGAGAGAGATGACAGTAAATGGTAGAGGGTAAGGGGAAGGTAGACTGACAAAAAAGGACTTTTAAAAAAGGCCTCAACCAAGAGTACACGTTTTACTGTTCTACGTGCCAACATAATAATGCATATTCTTTCAGAAAGTAAATGCTGGACCAAATCGGTTGCACTGACGCCAATGCTGCTGACAGTTCTGCCATTGTTTACCTTTTTCTTCTTCTTCCAGTGCGTAGAAATAGCAAAGTCGGGAGCCTTTCCTCAGTAGCGAGGTGCCGCCCACCACGTGCAAGTATATATAGTTATGGCGCTACTGTGACGTCACGTTGTCGCGCCACAAGTCCAAAAGCGCGAGTATACCGGAGCCTTTACTGTTGTCAATGAACTACAGCACTACTGCTTTTGTCCACAGGGGGCGCCACTGAAGGAAAGTTCACAGCACTGTTGCTGTGTGTTGATTCTCAGAATGGGGAAGTGTGGGTAAAGACAGATAAAGACATGAAAAGAAGAAGTGAGTAGAGAGAAATTATTTTCTCAGAACAGTTTCACACTCATGCTGTGGTTCAGCTGTTAAACTGGTTCTCATGGTCAGATCATAGGTTGATCAATAATCAATAGCATTGCTCCTGCTGCTCTGCTTTGACCAATAAAGGTTGTTCTGGATGAGAATTGGTCCTGTTGCTCTTCCTGTGTGTTCTTTATCAAACAGCTGCAGCAGCTGGAGGCAGTCTGATTTTAATTTGGCCACGCCCACCAGTGATGTCACAGTGCACTGGAGTACACCTGTCCATCACTGCAGTGTTTCTTCATCACCTTTAAACGTGATAGAATCTGTCCTGATAGGAAACTGACAGCCTAGAAATGTTTTTAATGTGTTATTGATCACAGGTGGCCTTCTGTGGCAGAACCGATCAGATCGATCAGAACCTGCTGAAGACCTTTCAGTGTGGATGGCAGCGGTCCAGAGGACCAGAGGCTGGGGTGCAGGACCTGAGGCCAGTGGAGCCAGGGAATCAGACTGCAGCTCAACGGGAACAGGTGTCGGCCGCCGACGAGGAACCAGGAGCACAAGAGGAGGACAACTACAAAATAAAACAGGAAGTAAGACATGAAAACTACAAAGTAAAAGAACAGTAACCTTTCTGACCCTGGGGGTGTGACGGTCCTTGTTGTACCTGGTTGTGGATGATGTCAGAGCGTTCCTTGTACAGGTGTTGCTGATGTGAGTTGATCTGTTAACAATTGATAATAATAAAGTTCTAGTTTAATGTGAATGTGCTCTAAAAGCTACAGGCAGTCCACAGATGATCCAACAGGATGTAAAGAGTTCTGGTCCTGCTGCTGCTGTATGATCCGCTCCACTTTCTGTGGAGTCCCAGTGGGTCTCTAACCAACCTATCCAGTCACCTGACCTGTGGGCCTTGCTGCTGTGGAGAGGTTGTAGCACTGAGGGTGGAGCTACCTGGTTCAGAGGAGGGCAGCTGGTGACTGAATGAGGAAGTGGTGAAGCTGAAGGCGTCACTCTGCTGCTGACACTGACTGACAGTCCACATCCAGACAACATGAAGGCTTCATCTGTGTCTCTGCTGCTGACACCGACTGACAGTCCACATCCAGACAACATGAAGGCTTCATCTGTGTCTCTGCTGCTGACACCGACTGACAGTCCACATCCAGACAACATGAAGGCTTCATCTGTGTCTCTGCTGCTCGGTGAGTCCAACAGCTTCTACACTCATCCATCATCACAGCTCACACACACTGCACACTCTCAGGATCAGCTCTCATTGATCCAGGATCCATACTGACAGTAATAACCATACACAGGTTCTAACACTCCCATTTATTGATAACAGTACACTGGATCTGTATGGATTATTGATCAGTATACACTGTATCTTTATAGATTAATGATCAGTATACACTGTATCTGTATGGATTATTGATCAGAATACACTGTATATGTATGGATGATATTGATCAGAATACACTGTATCTTTATGGATTATATTGATCAGTATACACTGTATCTTTATGGATGATATTGATCAGTATACACTGTATCTTTATGGATTATATTGATCAGTATACACTGTATCTTTATGGATTATATTGATCAGTATACACTGTATCTTTATGGATGATATTGATCAGTATACACTGTATCTTTATGGATGATATTGATCAGAATACACTGTATCTTTATGGATGATATTGATCAGTATACACTGTATCTTTATGGATGTTATTGATCAGTATACACTGTATCTTTATGGGTGATATTGATCAGTACACACTGTATCTTTATGGGTGATTTTGATCAGTATTAGGGATCGACCGATATGGATTTTTTAGGGCCGATACCGATACGGACTGCCAATTTTCAAGAGCCGATACTATATTTGCTCCCTCAATTTACATCATCACATCAAAATTACACAATGATGATAACAAGGTTGCAGCGAGATTTCATTTTTGTCTCAAATCGTAGGCATCTCTCCTTGATCCGCTAGCTGCCTGCCCCCTGAATACACTGTGAAAAAACCCGGTCTCGGGAGACAACACAGGGCTCGTAAACGTCAAACAAACACTAGGGGCGCATGCTGTGCACCAAAATACAACAAACCAGTTCCAGCCAATCACAGACAAGATGGTTGGGAGAGGGGGAGAGAGAGAGAGAGAGAGAGTTGTGTCTGAGAGTAGCTGCACGACTCAATTAGAAAAAAACATGGGGGGGGAGGGGCGAGCTTGCTTTGTTTTGTTTGGTATTTACTTTGAACGACAACAGAAGTGACGTCATGCAGGATCGCATAGTGCACCTTTAAGACTGCCATGGTTTCAATTTTTCTACATAAAATAAAATGAGCATGTCTTAGGCTACTATGCCACCTAATGCAAAGACAACACTAGTAGGTCTAAAGGAAAATGTAAAAGAAGCTGCCAGAATGGCAACCCCATAAATTAGCAGAGGAAAATAACGTGATGTCAGATTCGCATTAAGCAACAAACTGTTCAAGTTTCTGTTCTAAAGTGCGTCAACGTTAAAGGAATAAATATTCAACCAAGTATAAAACTGTTTCTCAAAGTTTTCAAAGCTCTCCTTCAGTCGGCGCAGCACTCTCATATATCGCTGTGATGTCCTACTGAGTGAGACGCACACACACACACACACACACACACACACACACACACACACACACACACACAACTTCAGTTTGGTAGCTGACGCTGACTGAAAAACTGGATTGCTAATGCTAACGTGTGCAAACGGCTCTAAACACTAGTAAGGCCGTCACGGTGCACTGTCTGGTACATGATAACACGAGGGAGAGAGAAACACACACACACACACACACACACACACACACACGTGTCCAAACCTCCAGCCAGGTGGTCGCTAAATAAAACTGCTACAACACCAGGGAACCACGGAACAATGTCGGCATTACTTCATCCTATGACCAGTGTTCACAACAGCTACCGTATGAATACATACAGCCACAATGGCAAGCAGTTTTATAGACTTGTTTAGCTATAGCACATACAGAGCATGCAGTTGGCATTCGTGTTTCCACTTTCAGTGTATGGCAATATTTCAGCTAAGTTAAACAGTTCAAAGATGCTTTGAAAGTGTTGAAGAGCAGACTTCCAGCACTCTCCTAGTGGGGGAGGGGCTGTGCATGGTCTGTACCTGCACTGCAGCGTCTGCAGCAACACGGAGCTGCCTGTGGACGCCTGTCTGTAAATAATGCTGGATCGGCGAACGCAGCAGCCCGCATCGGCCGATGCCGATACACGTAAAACACGCAAAAATTGGCCGATAATATCGGCCGGCCGATGTATCGGTCAATCACTAATCAGTATACACTGTATCTTTATGGATTATTGATCAGTATACACTGTATCTTTATGGATTATTGATCAGTATACACTGTATCTTTATGGATTATTGATCAGTATACACTGTATCTGTATGGATGATATTGATCAGTATACACTGTATCTTTATGGATGATATTGATCAGTATAACTCTGTATCTTTATGGGTGATATTGATCCTGTATTGACAGTCAGACTGTGGACATATGACGGCCTTTAGCTCGTGTTTCTAGAGTTACGTGTTGTTACGAACACGTTAGGAATTGTTAAAATGTGATATTTCTTAAAGGGAGTTTGGTGGAATATTATATAATATATTTAAACCTGTAGTGTATATTTTAAATGTTTTGCCACCATCACAGAGACACTAACGTATGATAAGGTTATCTGTCATTGATTGCTGTTGGTGATTGATTTAATTAATTCTTTACTAATGTGTGTATTGATTATTGATCAGAATCATTATCAGCAGTTTGCAGTAAGTTGTTGCACTTTGTGAGTGTTTATCTGTCACTGACTGCTGAAAGTACAGAACACAGTGATAACATATTGATATATAATAGATCAATAAACTCAGCTTTATAGTGATCAATCACGACTTAATAATCTTACAGCCCCGCCTTTAACTAACGAGGTACCCATGATTCCTATCTCATTGTTCATAAAGCTAATGCTAATGCTAATGCTGCGTTCAGCACAGGCTGCAGTAACAGTACACAACAGCAACATCACTGAAGTCAAGTGTCGACTGTTTAGAGGTCAGATCCACATCACAGTGAGGGTTTCTAGAGAACTCCTTCTATGTGACCTACGCAGAGAACAGTGGTTCTGAGTTTGACAGCAACAGATTGATCAACAGAACATAACCACTGTCACACACACCAATGCTCCATTAGAGTCTGCAGCTGGACGTACATTACAGTGTGAGAGGATCCACAGCTCAAAGTGGTCCTGATGGTCACAGCAGCAGTTTACATGGTAGCCATCAGTGTGTGGATGAGATACAGAGCTACACACACTACAGAGGGCTCACATTGACACCACTGTTTTATCAGCGTTAGACATCAACTGTCACTCTGTCTGCTTTAGTTTGGGAACATTTGACAGAAGGTGAAGCTTCAGTCACTTTCACACTGTGATCATGTGACAGTTTGCTGGAGGCAGTAGGTAGCAGTGTAGAGGCGCACAGATCCAACTCAAAGAGTCCTTGTAAAGGATGAGTTGGTTGATTGTGTGCAGCTCTACAACAGACTCCTGCTAGCATCAGCTGTGTAGTGCAGTGTGTGCTAACATTGTAATGCACACATTGACTGTCAGTGTTCACAGACGGTTCAAAGTAGATTGTGAGTGTGAAATGACAAAGACTGCTGGTTGTTTTGGGGCCTGTACATGTGATCAGAGGTGTTTTCAGCAGCACTGCATCGAAGTGTCCTTTCACACAGGAAAGCTCCGCTGCTGAAACAACAGATAGATTGTGATCTTATCTGAGTTTCATGTGTCACTGCTTCTCTAACTGTGATATTTCCATGGTTATTAATGTCCACACTGAGTTTCACTAAAGCTGATGAAGCCTGCTGAATACTGCAGACACCAGTTCCAGTCAGGTTTCCCTCCAACTGCTGTTGATTATTGCTGCTGATATTTCAGCTTTAGAGCGGGACTCAAACAGGACTTGAACCCATCACACAATAAAAGCACATATATTACAGTTACAGTACACGTTGTAGTCTCCAGTCCTCTCACACAGAACTACATGTTCTAATGAAATCTCATCTGGAGCCTCACTTAGAGAACGGACTGAAGATCACTTCTGATCACTTTTAGTTTGACTTCCACAGAAAACCATGAGTCAGCAGTTTCCTTCCTTTGACCAGGAAATGATCTTTTCTCTCATCAAACTGTGGACGTCAGTGGTTTCCCCTGCTGGTTGTGTCGGGGTACTGCAGGTTGAGCCCAGGCCTGTGGTGAACTTACTAGCATTAGCTTTATGCTACGACACACTCCCGAGCTACGTGTTTCTGTGACAACCAACTATTTAGTCCATGAATAAAACGTGTTGTCTTCAGTGTCCTCGACCATCTCTGGGATCTCCTCTGTTGGTCCAAGGCTCTTCCTTCCTGCCCCTCAGCTGTGCTAGCATTATATAGGATATAATATAGATTGTAACTCTACAGTTATAGATCAGTGTGTCAGTTACCAACGGGCTTTTAGAGCCTGTGTAAGTCAGGTTGATTATCTCAGTATCTTGGCCTCCACTCTCTCTGTTCTTTGGTTCTCCTGATGAGTTCTCCATATAAGGACCCACCCAGACCGTTAGTGTGGACTGGAGATGGCCAAAGAGTGCCAGCTTCACTTTCCCTAACAGTGTTTTTAAGGTGGATTTAAACCCCAGAATGTGAAGAGTAAAGTCAAATGAAACAAAGGAACCATCACCTTCAGTCTGACCTTCAGTCTGACCTTCAGTGACCTTTAGTGACCTTTGACCTTCAGTCTGTCCTTCAGTGACCCTGTCCTCCTGTTGCAGGTGTGTCTGTGCTGCTGCTGTCTGCACTGACTGTTTCTGCAGGTGAGCTGATGGAAGTGAAACAATCACTGACATTAAATCATAATAATAATAATAATAATAATAATAATAAAATACATTTAGTCTCTCTGTCTGTCTGTCTAACTGACTGTCTCTCTCTCTGTCTGTCTGTCGCCAGTCTCTCTGGAGGTCAGTCCCAACCGTCCTCAGTTCTTTAGAGAAGAGTCAGTCTGTCTGAAATGTGTTGGAGATGGACAGACAGCTGATGGATGGATGGTGAAGAGGACAGCAGGAGGACACAATGAGGACTTTGGGAGGTTTGATGGTTCCTGTTACAACATATCGTATCTCTCCCAGTCAGACACTGGAGTTTACTGGTGTGGAACCAGTTCTGGACAGAAGAGCAACCAGATCAACATCACTGTAACTGATTATACAGGCAAGTTGTTCTTCTGTTCACTAACTCTGTCTGTATATGGCTCTGGTCTGATGGTCTAACTCTGTCTGTATATGGCTCTGGTCTGATGGTCTAACTCTGTCTGTATATGGCTCTGGTCTGATGGTCTAACTCTGTCTGTATATGGCTCTGGTTTGATGGTCTAACTCTGGCGTTGTTTCTTCTTCAGGGGGTTATTCTGGAGCTTCCTGCTCTTCCTGTGATGACAGGAAGTGATGTCACTCTGCGCTGTAGAAAGAGAGGTGTCTCCACACTCGAAGCCTTTTTCTTCAAGAATGGAGTCCACATTGGATCTGGACCTGAAGGACAGTTTACCATCAGTAAGGTCCAACAGTCTGATGAAGGTCTCTACTGGTGTTTTATTGATCAGACTGTGAACTCTTCTCGGAGCTGGCTGAGGGTCAGAGGTCAGGACACTGACATCACTTCCTGTTTAAAGATATGAACTAACCTGCTGACCTGATAATAAACTGATGACTGAACTGAACCAGGTTCTACTCTTTTCTCCTACAGGTCCTCCTGCTTTAACTACTCTTCTACCTCCTCCTCCTCCTCCTGTAGCCTCCTCTCCTCCTCCTCCTCCTCCTCCTCCTCCTGCAGACTCCTCCCCTCCCTCCTCCTCTCTCCTCCTCCCAGTTGGAGCAGCTGTGGGTTCTCTGGTTCTGGTTTTGGTTCTGGTTCTGGTTGGAGTTGTGTGGCCCTGCAGGAATCAATCAGGTATGAAAGCTGTCAGACTCACCTGATATGAACAGACTGGAACCAGACTGGGTCTGATCCAGTCAACAGGTCTGTAGTGAACTACAACCTGCAGAGTGAACAGGGTCAGAGTCAGAACAGAAATGAAGAATTCTTCCGTCAGGATGCATAAATATAATTAAGTTTATTTATTTTTGTATTATTGCAGCTCATTTTGATATTTTATATTTCAATATTTACATTCTTTATAATGTATAGTATTTCTAATTAAACAGTGTATAAACTCTAGAGCTATGTTCTATATTCAATCAATAATCTATAATCATTAAACAGTGTAGAAACTAGAGCTATGTTCTATATTCATATATATGTTCTGATAGATCATTTGCTGAACGTTCTGTTGGGGGTTTTTCAGCTGTTACCATAGTAACCACCTGTATGAAGGTGAACTGTAGTGACAGTGGCAGAAAGTTTTATCTTCAATAATTAATACAACTTATCAATAAATGTGTAGAGAGATGGTTTGTATATTCCAGCTGTGTGTCTCAAACTACTAATGGGGCTCTTCCTAAAGTAAAGACTGCTTTATCTCAACAGATATTTAACTGGATTAACATTTTATAAAATGATACCTGTTGCACTGATCGTGGGTATAACTTATTAATAACTAGACAGAGCTAATGCTAATGCAGAGCTAATGCTAATGCAACAACAAAAAGGGATTGTTCACGTAACCAACATCCAGCTTAAATATCTGACTGACTGACGAGGAACCCAAAGATTAAAAACCTGAATGTGTAGAGACAGAACACTGTATGTTCATTTAATGTTATGCAAACAGAGGAAAACTCACATCATACTTCCCTATAGCAGAGTACTGACAGCAGTACAGAACCCCTTCTTAAAAAGCCCACTCTTGACCTAGGGGTTTTAGCCAACTATATACCGATTTCTAACCTCCCCTTCCTCTCTAAGATTCTGGAGAAAGTAGTCACAAAACAGTGACTTTCTACATAGCAATAGTTTATTTGGTTTGACACAAGAAGTTCCTAATTTAGCAGGAAGATGATATGTACTTTATTAATCACCTATTGGGGAAATTGTAGTCAGTCAGTCAGTCAGTCAGTCACACACACACACACACACGTGGAGTGAGTCACTCTTAAACAAAGAAGTGTAAGATTTGCTCAGTTTATCCTTACCTGACTTTAAAAAGCAGGATGACTTGATTCTTCTTGATTTTAAAGGAAGTAAGAATACTTAAAAATATACACAGTAGGCCTTTTCTCAGTGCATCATTCATTACTTACAAGAAAACTAAATTAGTTAAAAGACCAAAGTGTCAGGGATGGTGACCAGGACTCAGACGCAGACTAGAGTGAAGTTTCAAATAAAGAGATTTGTTTGAAAGGCACAAACAAAGTGGTTTAAATGGCTGAGATTCAGATGTGACAGAGAGTGGGAATGGGTTCCGGACTGGGTGTTGTGGTGCTTGCAGGTGGAACTGGGTTCAGGATCAGGGTGAGATGGTCTGAGACGTGACAGGGAAAAAAAACAACAAGTTAGTAAGAGATATTTCAGAGTCGAGAAAGTTCTGGTTGGCTGGCTTGTTCTTATACTAAATGATTCAACGATCCGGTGGGGAATGGAAGGTCGGCCTGGTTTATAAAGGGTGGGTTGATTGTAGATGAGGACCCGGTGTGCTGGTTGGTGTGATGAACCACAGGTGTGTCAGCAGGAGCTGCAGCGACCACGCCCACCAGCGGCTTTCAGAACATGTGGGGAAAGCAAAACACAGAGACAGACACCAAATGTATAGTTTATCAGTTCTTCTGTACCATTATTGTTATCAATTGAATACATTATAGTCCTCGTATGGATGTCTGACTACTTAATCATAAAATTAGACAAAGAACCAGGTCTGAGAACAATTATGTCCTGGTGCCTCCATCTCCACCCTCCATGACATGCCCGACCACTATATAATATTTGCATTTTCTTAACCTCAGATCAACTGGAATTTTTCTGGCATCTTTACAAAATAGTGATTGTTACATTGTTATTTTCAATTATGATTGTCTGATCATTCTCCTCTAATTTGTCCATTATGTTGGAAAGGTGTCAAAAATGCCATTGGGTTTTCATTTTCATAGAAATATTAAGCCATTTTTTATCAGAGAGGCTGAGCAAATACATGGCTCTGAAATTAAATGTCTGCTACTTTGGTCACATATCAATTAAATCATTCATCAACATATCTTATCTGATGATCTATTCAGTGTGAACTAATCACCAAAAGTCATAGTAACTTGATCATTTTTTTAATGGTGGGCTACAGGAAATCATGATACATCCTATATTAATTAATGCAATAAATCATCATGAGTCATGCATTAGTTAAGCATTATTTATGTATATGGTTTGTACCTTATGATAAAGTGTTACACACTATTGTCGCAGTGTGGTATTCAGTGTTGGTCAAGTTACTTGGAAATAGTAATTAGTTACTGATTACTTCTCCAAGAAAGTAATTCAGTTACTTTACTGATTACTTATTTTCAAAAGTAATTAGTTACTTTACTAGTTACTTTACTAACTTACTTTTCAAAAACATGATGCACCACCTGAATACGCTATAAAGCAATTGACCTTTCAGCCTAATTCTATTCTTTCTGCATATTCCATCATCTAAAATTGAATCAAATGAAACACTCTTTTGTAAAACTTGGTTTATTAGTTTCAATCTTTTAACTTTATGCACATTGCATCAAGCAAAAATTAAATTAAATGCAACAGTCTCTGACTTGAAGAAAATTTAAACCTATTTTCTGCACATTCCACCATATTTTAATGAAATAAAGCAAGTCCTTCTTTCTGCATATTCCAACATATAAAATAAAATATTTTTTGTATAATCCTTCATTCGAATAGATGTAAATACAATACTGCAATAAAATAATTAAAATCAAAGTCTTTCCTGACTGTATTCCAAATTATTAACCTTTATGTCTTTTAACAGTTGGTAAAGTGCAGAGAGGAGTAATAATGAGTTTACCAAAACAGAACATGCTGTTGCATGCCACATTTAGGCTGTTAGTCCAGTCTTATTTAATGGCTACCCTGACAAGGCCCTATGTTTTTTTGTTTTCTTTCGGAATGAAACAGTGGTTGTATCGCATCCGCAGAAGCTTCTCAAACCTCCTATCACACAGTCCGTTCCTTTTCGGGGATAGCACCCACGCAGAGTGTACAGTAATGTCGGTACTTCCAAGCATTAAACGCTGCATGGTCCTGCTCTCTCCCGCGCTCCATGTTGTCTCTTGTTGATCACTACACGTGTCAGTGTTTACCAATGACGTCGCAGAGCTCATACGTCATTGTCACTCACGAGACAGTCTCACAAAACAAAATCACGGTTAAGTAACGCAGTAACGCAGCCTGCTTGCGGGAAAGTAACAGTAATCTAATTACTGTTTTTGCAATTGTAATCCCTTACTTTACTCGTTACTTGAAAAAAGTAATCGGATTACAGTAACGCGTTACAGGAGCGTACAGGATCTGAAAAGTTCTTCCGCTGCTGGTCGTCAGTTTCCTAAAATGGACTTGATGTGGTGGAAGAAGTACTTGAAGACTCTTTGAATAAAAGTACATGTAAAAACATTGGATTACAGGTATAAGTCCTGCATTCACATGTTTTTAAGTCTAGAGCAAAATGGACTGAGCATCAAAAACAAAAGAGCTCACTACTGATAATTGTTTATTTTAGTGTTAAATTATTGATGCACAACCATGAACTAGATAAATTTTTCCCACACATGATTTACTCTGATTTAATTTTTCTTTAGGCACAACAGAGCCTCTAGTGTTTTGTCACTTTGCTGGTGTCCATAACATACCGTCCAGAGTGAAGATGATCATCGACTGGAAAACATTAGTTTTGCCCTTTTCATGCTTTAAAGGAGAGGACTTAACAGACATAGGGTTATAACTTGCAGGTCAGTGCAAAAACTGTCTCTGGCCCTCCACACCCCTCCCTCCAGCATGTGGCATGATTTCCAAAATAGAATGCAAGATTTTTTCCTAGTTACTTCATATCAATTTTAACTACCCCTTCATATACAATTAAAATGAAAACACAAGTAGTAGTACACAGATGTACACAAGTATTGAATACTGACAAGGAAGAAATTAAGCTATGGCAAAACCATGGGTATTGCCCAATGGTAAGTCTAGGTTTTCCTACAAGTCTGTGAGATGTATGCAGTGGTAACTTCAAATAATTGATGCAGGTGTGCGATGGGTGCTTTAGAAGGGGTTCCTGTGTTATGCTGCTGGTGAAGAAATTAAATTAAAGATTGTAGAGAGAAACCAGTTGGTGGAACAGTATTGGCTCCAGTGGCAAAGATGAGAATTGGCCACAGCTTCTGTACTTCCTTTTGACCTAGAGAAAAAGCAATACATCAGAAATTAAATTTAGAAAAAATATGCAGTACATTATTAATTTCAAGTGAGAATATATCTCAGTTCATTTAAAGAAACACTTAAATGTTTCTACATTAACCTTCTAAATCAGTAATTTCTCCACAAAGGAACAACAACTTCCTCAGCACACCTTCTATTGCTACCAACTGGAGATAGGCAGATGGTGAAGAGGCTGTCAACCAGGGATTATGAGACCAGCATAGAGGGAAGTGAAGATTCTCCAGGGGAGCTTGGATTTTGTCCAGGACACTACGTCCATCAGTCCATCCCAAAATCTGAGTAAAAATAAACACACATTTTGATTGGCTCGCTGTAAGAATCAGAAAATTTAATAATTTGAAAAAACTCACATTGTGAGTATTATTTATTTATGTATATTTCAATATGATTCACAATTATTGGGAATGATTCTTTTTGCATCAAAATATTTATTTTAACTGAAAAAACTAAAATCCTGATGTGAGATTTGTTGGGGTCTGTACCAAACAAACATGTTTTCTAATATCTGGAGAATAAGATTTGCATGCCAGGAAAGCTCATAGCAGAGACTAAGAAGGCTGTCCCACAACAAACTACTATAAAACTCTTTTTACTTTAAATGAGGCACTGTCAATATCTTAAGAGGGTTTGTTTATGGCATCAAATTAAAAGTAGTTTATTGTTAGAGTAAGTATGCTTATCTGTCTTACCTTGCAATTTCTCCTCACAAGGTCGCATGCAACTCTTCTCAGATTGTACCCATCAGAAAGCATACCTAAGCTGTGCGCTTAGCCACTGAATACCAGCGTTTGAATACCTTCTTAATTGATGCCTGTAATCACCAGGTGAAAGTATGGCGTGGGTTTTAGGAGGCAGGAAAATTCAAGCATGCTTCAGTAGTAGTACGGCATGTGAAAGGATCCATGCACGTCTCTTTTAATATAGCCTTTCCTGAATGTCAACATCGTTTTGACCATAGCGTAGAGCCTCCTTCTGAAAATCAAGTGTTAGCACATACTGTCTCGTACTGAGTCTGAAAATGTTTTTTTCCTCCGATTGGTCCCTCATTGTAGCTCTAGTTGTTTGGGAAGTTGAAACTTTGGGGAAAATAACCCTTGATTTTATCTAAACCTAGGGCCTCGGGTATGTCTGCTAATCGCATGGTAAGAAAAGACAGAAAGTCTTTGTAATTTTGACCATAATCAGGTTCCCTGAAACAAAAGAGTCTGCTCTCTTACATTACCAAAGAAGGTTTTAAACCCTGTTCAACCATTGAGAAGGAGGTAGTTGTCAAAACCTCTAGCACTGTGGGTGAGAAACACAGCGTTTTTTTGTACGAAGGTCTCCTAAAGAGTAGGAGAAACTCTTTGGCACAATCCACACCATGAGCGCACCATCTCGCGCCGTTCATTGTTTTTGTGCAAACCAAACCACCATATCCAAAGTAGTTAAGAATCCCTTTTTTGTTTACAAACCACCAATTTGTTTTTATGCTCCTTTTCTGGCGTAAAAGATATGAAACAATGATGTACCTCTTGTTGAGGGACAGTTTCTCCCCATTGGTTTTACACCTATGCCTGGGACATTGCTAAAGGTCACAGCCATCTGATCAGTAAAACCCACCCCATTTTGAATCTCTCTGCCGAACACAAAGATTTCCCTATCTGTGAGGTTAGGAGGGAGCAGATGGGCTACATTTGTTGAAAGTTTTTTTAAAGTCTTCCTTTAAAGGATTTTGCTGTTTTGCATTTTTTCCGAAATTCTTTGACAGCTGCAGTGAGGGTGATGGACCACCTGTACAACCGCTTCTAGCTCTCCATCTGCCATAACTGTCCACGTTGATTGCACAACGTGGAGCAAGAGAGAGATTTCTGTCATCATCGCATTGTATGACAGCTGAGATATTATGACACAAATGTTTGCCCGTCATCTCTCTCTGTATCGCATCATGACAACTTGCCTGTGAGAAGGCTTGGTGCAACATACCGTCTACAGAGCACATCACATTGTTGAAATAGGTTCAGATGTGTTTATATTGTCAGATTTTGTCTGGGTCCATTCATCATTTGACATATCACAAGGATCCATATTGTTTAGTTTTTTTAATGTATCCAGTAATTCTACCGGTATTTTAATTTGAAGATCTGAAGATTTTGGGAAGTGGAGGGTTTATCGCATCCTGTAATTCTGATGGTATTTTAATTTGGGAACGTCGTAGCATGAAGAGCATTGTGTACTCAGATGGTCTGAGAATTGACCCGATATTGGTTCGGAGCTGGCCATGGTGCAACGAAATAATTCAACATCTTACAAAACTCTGAATATTTCACCCGGAAAACATAATTGATTAATCAATAACTTAATAATACACCATAAAACAAACACACAACAACATCATCATTATTCTAATGATTCACCCTTATAGAATTAAAAACATTGACTACGTACAAAAGTTTATTCCATTGTTTTTATTCTAAAACAGAAATTTCTAACAGATTGTTCACACTACCCGTGTCTGCGAGGTGGAATGTCTGGATTTCTATTTTGCCGCCCATAAATCTCTCTCTCTCTCTGTGTGTGTCTCTCTGTGTCTCTCTGTCTTTCAGGTAAACACTTGCTTTCTGGTTACTCTTCACATTTACATTTAAACTATACTACAGTGTAAATTAAACAATGTTAAAATTAAGTAATAAAGGCAACAAAGCCTCCTCTTCATTTGGTTTTTCTACCCTGGTGTGGCAAGGTTGTCTGTGTTTTCTTGGGAATATTCCAGATATTCTTTCTGGTTCTTTGAAACCATCCTGACCTCCAATGATTACATAGTGGAAATTGTAAAATGAATTAATCTGCAATGTTGTATAATTGTTGATTTCAAAAGTATGACTGAGAGAAAGAAAACAGTCCAAAAGGATTTCCTCAGCACAGACCGAAAAACAACAAATCCAAAAAGGGATTTAGTGAGAGGATGAGCTCCAGATAAAGTTCATACAGTGAAAATATGAATGAGTTCTGTAGTAAAATACAATCACAGCAGATCTGACTGTCGTCTCCTCCTCAGGAAGAAATCCTGCTCCAGAAGATGTGACCTACGCTGATGTCACCATCAGACAGACAGCCAATAGGAGAGGAGGTAGGCTGAGTGTGTGAGTGAGAAAGCTTGTGTGTGTGAGTGAGTGTGTGTGTGTGTGTGTGTGTGTGTGTGTGTGTGAGTGAGAGAGTGTGTGTGTGAGTGAGTGTGTGTGTGTACTGATTCACTGAATGTGTGTTTTTATCTTCCAGACAAACTTTCTGCAGATCCTGATACTGTCTACTCTGGAGTGAGGACATACACTGCAGGTACACACACACACACACACACACACACGCACACACAAACACACACGCACACACAGACACACACACACACAGGTTGCGATACTGGGAGCTGTGGCATTGTGGAGTCTGATGGCAGATGGTACAAATTAGCCTCCAAACTGCTTTGAGGCTCGGGGCTGGGTCAGTCTGTAGCTGAAGATGCTCCTGAGCTGCCTGAGCTCAGTGTAGAGAGGATGAGAGGGGTTGTCCATGATGGCTTTCAGCTTCCCTCTCATCCTCTTCTCAGTCACAGCCTCCACACTGTCCAGCTCCATCCCCATCACTGAGCTCGCCTTCCGCACCAGCTTGCTCAGCTTAATGGCACCCGTAGTCCCGATGCCTCCCCCAACAGACCACCGCAAAGAAGATGACACTGGCTACTACAGACTGGTAGAACATCTGTAGTTGCTGAGTGCACACGTTGAATGACCTGAGCCTCCTCAGAAAGAACAGCCTGCTCTGTCCTTTCCTGTAGAGGGCCTCAGTGTGATCTGTCCAGTCCAGTTTATTGTTGGGTGTCACCCCCAGGAACTTGTAGGTGTCCACCATCTCTACCTTCTCCCCCTAATCTCAACTGGGGTGGGGTTCCTCTTGCCCCGCCGGAAGTCCACCACCAGCTCTTTGGTTTTTCCTGTGTTGAGCTGTAGGTGGTTCCTATCGCACCATCCAATGAAGCTCTCAATCAGGTCTCTGTACTCCTCCTCCCGATCATCTGTGATACAGCCGACAATGGAGGAGTCATCAGAGAACTTCTGTAGGGGGCACGCTCCAGAGTTGAAGCAGAAGTCAGAGGTGTAGAGGGTGAACAGGAACGGTGATAGTACAGTTCCTTGGGGTGTACCAGTGCTCCTCGTCACCACGTCTGACAAGCAGCTGTGCAGTCTGACATACTGTGGTCTGTCAGTGAGGTAGTCTGTGATTCAGGTCATGAGGTCCTGATCCACCTGCATCACAGAGAGCTTTTCTGCCAGCCGGAGAGGCTGGATGGTGTCGAAGGCACTGGAAAAGTCAAAGAACATGATTCTCACGGTGGTCTGTGACTTCTTCAGGTGGGTATAAGTTCTCTGAGGTGCTGCAGAACCAGTCTCTCAAAGGTCTTCATAACATGTGACATTAAGGCTACAGGCCTGAAGTCTTTGAGAGCTTCCTTTTTGGGAACAGGAACTAAGCAGGAAAGTCTTTCAGATCTTTGGCACCTTCTTCAACCTCAGGGAGAGGTCAAACAGACGCTGGAACACTCCTGCCAGTTGCTCAGCAGACACCTTAAGGACTCTCGGGTTGACGTAATCTGGACCTCTGGTCTTGTTTATCCGGGTCCTGGTGAGCTGCCCTCTCACCTGGCTTCCTTTGATGACCGGGTTGGTTGTGGAGGTGGTGGGGGTGTGACAATCCCCAGGTCTGGGCAGTATCCTTCCCCTGTCCTCAAGGGAGGGAGCTGTGGGGATTGATGAGAGGGGGAGGAGAGGAGGGGTATGAGAGGGTGGAGTGGGGAGAGGGAGGAAGGGGAGGGGGGTTGAGGGGGGTGAGGGCAGATGAGGGGGGTGTTACTGTCGTCTGGGTAAAGAAGAGGGAGACAGGCTGTGGTGGAGGAGGGTGGAGCAGCCAGGGTCTGAATGGAGGTACCTGAGGAGGTGGAGGGGGTTTGTGAGTCAAACCGATTATGATTATGTTCGTGTTTGTCTCTCAGGTCCTTCTGAGGTCACATATGGTCACATCATCATCAGGTCTAAGAGGACAGCTGGAACCAGGACTGGTAACCATGACAACACACTGTACACATACACACACACATTGGACATAAAACACACACAAACACACACACACACACACACACACACACACACACACTGTACATAAAACAGACACAAACACACACAAACACACACACACACACACACACACTGTACATAAAACAGACACAAACACACACACACACACACACACACACACACGCAAACACACACACACACACTGTACATAAAACACACACACACACACACACACACACACACACACACACACACTATATATATAATTCACTATGTTTGTGTTTCAGGTCAGTCAGCTGATCCAGATGTTGTGTATTCTTCACTGAGAGCAGGTGTGTGTGTGTGTGTGTGTGTGTGTGTGTGTGTGTGTGTGCTGTATGTACAGGATCCATACCAGTGACGGCTGGTGGTGATTTTGGGTGGGGGGCTAACAAATGCATTACACTCATCAATACGTTACACAGCAGCAACAACAGCATCACATCAAGTTACAGCAACAACATTGCAACAGTGGGGATGCATACCCAAATGAATGACCTGATGCCAAATCTCTCTCTCTCTCTCTCTCTCTCTCTCTCTCCTCTACGGTGTCGGACAAGGGCAAACACGCCGCAAACGGCAAAATGCTGCAAACACAGGAATGATGCAAAACCAAAAACACACAAAGACATAAAACAAATGCAACAGAAAAATGCTGCAATCACAGAAACGAAGCAGAAGCAAAAACTTACAAACCCACAAAACAACTGCAAGAGAGAAATGCTTCAAATTCACATGAAGGAAAACATACCTTTTTACTCTGCTCTCAAAACTTACCCAACTTTCTTCTCCTTCTTCATGTCTTTCGGGTCTGGTCCCACAGGACTGGTCCATCCCTCAGGTCGGGTCCCCCCCTAGTGGCCTGGCGCACTTCCGTTTTGTGGAGTGAATTTGCGGCGTTTCTCTCTCGCAGTTGTTTTGGGGTTTTTGTGTGTAACCCTAACCCGTGACCGGCGCGGTAGAAAGAGTGAACACTAACGCTGGTCCCAGTGCTATTCTCACCACCCCCGCTACTTCTACCACATCCATTAGCTCTCCTACTGATACTACGAGTTCGTGTATCATTTCCACTCCCACCTATGTTGGGCAAAGGGTCGTGTGTTTATGCTTGTATCTTTTCCTCGCTTTGCCTGGCAGCGCCATTGCTATGCAAAGACGCACCGTGACTATCACGCTCACTAAACGACCGGCCGTCATCTCCCAAAGGTAGATTTTCCCGTTCAGAATCAGAGTCAGTGAATAGGAGACCCATCACTTCCCTAAGCGTCAACTTTTTGCTTGCCATTGTCGTTTATTTCGTCTCAATAACTCCTAAATCCAGCAATACCGCTTCAGCATAAATAGCGCCCTGGCACACTATCTCCGATTTCTCACCCAACAGTTTGGACGGGACTTCCTCGAACATTTTGCATTAAAGCATGACGTATTTCTGAGCTAAGGTCTAAGTACGGGATGTCTGCTGACTAGTGGAGGGGGAGTATGAACGAGATATAACACTCTATACGGAGAAAACAGCTGTTTGATTCAGTACCGCGTCGTGTCGCTATTTTGCGACTTTGGCGCTTAAAGGGTTAATTGTATGGTATGAACAGACCGATGTGGGGCTAACTGTTCAGAGTTTTTAAAATGTGACAATAGATTGGACAAAAAGATGTTTGCAATTGAAAAAAACTGTAATGTTCACATGCAATGTCACGGTGCTTCTGCGGGAAAGTGTTCTTAAACAGCGGAAAGAGTTCAGGGTCAATAAGTTCCAAAGACACCAAGTGCCTGGCTTTCTTAAAGCGAGCCTTTGACCATTATGTCACAGCACTGTGCGGCTACTGACACATTATCTGACCGCTGCATCCTGCGGCGTTGCAGGGGTTGCAGCTGTGTCCGCATCAGGATGTGGCTGATTGTCATCTGCGGTCAGCAGTTCAGATATGAAGCATGAAAGATTCTCCAGACAATTTAATACAGCGATGCGGTGACTCTCATTAAGCTGACAGCTGATAATAATAATAACAATAATAATACATTTTATTTATAAGCGCTTTTCTGAATACTCAAAGACACTTTACATAAAAAAATAAAATAAAAAATAGAATAAACATAAAAGCAGCCAAATAACATCGAATAGTAAAACATTAAAAACACATCAGACTTAGCTAAACATTAAAAGCAATTTTAAAAGGTGAGTTTTTGTCAGTGATTTGAATATTGGAAGGTCGGTACAGTCACGGATGGGTTTGGGGAGAGAGTTCCAGAGGGAGGGGGCAGCTACAGAGAACGCTCTGTCGCCCCAGGTTCGGTGCTTGGTCCGGGGTGGAGGAGTCAGGAGGTTTGCTTCAGATGAGCGGAGGCTGCGGGATGGATTGTGGCGATGGAGCAGGTCAGTGAGGTAGGAAGGAGCCTGGTTATGGAGGGCTTTGTGTGTAAGGAGGAGGATTTTGAACTGAATGCGCTGTGGAACTGGGAGCCAGTGGAGGGTCTGGAGGACGGGAGTGATGTGATCACGGGTGCGGGTGTGGGTGAGCATACGTGCAGCGGAGTTTTGGATGTATTGTAGCTTATTTAGAGTTTTGGATGGTGTGCCATAGAGGATGCTGTTGCAGTAGTCGATTCTGGAGGTGATGAAGGCGTGGATGAGGGTTTCAGCAGCAGAGAAGGAGAGTGATGGGCGAAGACGGGCAATGTTCTTGAGATGAAAGAAGGCAGTTCTCGTGATTAGGTTTATGTGATGTTCAAAGGAGAGGTTAGTGTCAAAGATGACTCCGAGGTTGCGACTGTGGGGGGATGGAGACAGGGTGGAGTTGTCAATGGTGAGGTGGAAACTGTCTGTGGTTTTGGTGAGGGATTTGGGGCCGATAATGATAAGGTCTGATTTGTCACAGTTGAGTTTGAGAAAGTTGGAATGCATCCAGGATTTGATGTCGGTGAGGCAGTTGGAGAGAGTCGAGTGAGTGGCCGGGGTGATGGATTTGGTGGAGATATAAAGCTGGACGTCATCGGCATAACAGTGGAAGTGGAGACCATGGTGGCGAATGATGTTGCCAATGGGGAGCAGGTAGAGTATGAAGAGGAGAGGACCAAGCACCGAACCCTGGGGGACGCCTTGGGACAGGGGGAGCAGTGGAGGAGGTGCAGTTGTTGACATGGATGAATTGTTGTCGGTCTGTGAGGTAAGATTTTAGCCAGGAAAGTGCAGTGCCAGTGATGCTGAGAGAGGACTCAAGACGGGAGAGGAGAATGGTATGGTTGATGGTGTCAAAGGCTGCAGTGAGGTCCAGGAGGATAAGGATGGTGAGGTGGCCGGAGTCAGCGGAGAGGAGGATGTCGTTGGTGACTTTCAGGAGGGCTGTTTCGGTGCTGTGTTGGGAGCGAAAACCGGATTGAAATGGTTCGAACAGTTCATTTGAGCAGAGGTGGGTTTTGAGTTGTGTGGCGACAATACGTTCCAGTATTTTGGACAGAAAAGGAAGATTGGAGATGGGCCGAAAGTTAGACATGATGTCAGGGTTGAGTCCAGGTTTTTTGAGGATGGGGGTGACAGCAGCCAATTTGAGTGAGCGGGGGACTGAGCCGGACTTGAGAGAGGAGTTGATGATTTCTGTGATGAGTGTGGAGATGGCTGGTAAAGAGTCCTTGATGAGGTGAGATGGGATAGGATCCAGGACACATGTAGTGGTTTTCATGCCTGTCATGATTTTGGGCAGCTCCCCTGGTGACACGGGGCAGAACTGAGACAGAGGCTGAGAGGCGAAGGGGGGGGAGCAGATGAAGGAGTGGGATTGCAGGCTGTGGGGGCAGGAGCGGAGGACAGATTGTTATAAATGGTGTCGATTTTTGATTGAAAGAATGAAAGAAAGGAGTTGCATTTGTCAGTGTTGAATGACTTGGAGGTATTGTCGCTGGGCTTGAGGAGTTTATTTACTGTAGAAAACAGAGCCTTGGGGTTGGTGGAGCCAGCGTGAATGAGGTGAGAGTAGTAGGTGGACCGGGTGGTGTTGAGGGCATCCTTGTACTGCAGGAGGTAGTCTGTAAAAGTTTGGAGATGAACAGTTAAACCGGTTTTCTTGTAAAGTCTTTCAAGTTGTCGTTTGCGTGTTTTCATTTTGTGCAGTTCAGGAGTGTACCAGGGGGCAGAGTGGGTGAATGAGACGGTTTTGGTTTTGATGGGGGCCAGCTGATTGAGACAGGAGGAGAGTGTTTCGTTGTAGAACTTGGTGAGGTCAGAGGGGTTGTCAGTCAGCGGTGGGGGGGAGGAAGATATTTTACTTGCAAGAGAGGTAGTAAGAGCTGAAGGGGAGATGGATTTGAGGTTTCTGAAAGATATTGTCCGTTTATCCTTAATGGTGGGAATGGGGATGTCAATGTCCGTGATGATTGCCAGGTGGTCGGAGATGTTGAGGTTGAAGCTGGAGAGGTGAAGTAAGGTGAGACCAGTGGAGCAGACCAGATCCAGGATGTGACCACGGCTGTGGGTGGGAAAGTTGACGTGTTGGGTGAAGTTGAAGCAGTGTAGTAGTTCCAGGAATTCAGTGGCAGATTTGCAGTCATTGTCAATGTGGATGTTGAAATCTCCCAGAAGAAGAACGGAAGGTGAGATGGCAGATAACTGAGTTAGAAAGTCAGAGAAGTCGGTGATAAAGGAGGGGTTTGGTTTGGGGGGGTAGATGATGGCAGTGACCAGAGGAGTGGGACCAGAGAGTTTGAACGTGAGGTGTTCAAAGGAGTGAGCAGCAGGGATAGAGATGGTGGATGTTTTGATGTCCTCCCTGTAGATTGCTGCTACACCACCTCCCCGCCCCTCAGGTCGGGGTTTGTCAATGTAAGTGTATCCGGTGGGTGTGGTCTGGTTGAGCAAAAAGTAGTCCAGAGGTTTGTGCCAGGTTTCAGTGATACAGAGGAAATCCAGGTTATTGTCACTTATGAATTCATTCAGAATGAGACTTTTATTGTTAAGTGAGCGGGTGTTGAGCAAAGCCAGTTTCAGGTGACGTTGCTTCGTGAAAGTTTGAGAGGACCGAGGAAGGGGGCGGAGATTAGATAGGTGCACATGTCGTTTGTTGTGATGACGTAATGAGGAAGTTGCGGTGCGTGAGCAGGACCAGATGGATGGGATAGAGTTAGGAGTTGAACAGTTGTAGATGAACATACGACCAGAGCCTCTGTGTGGAGGACGGCGAAGTAGTCCAGTTTCACGGAGGATGTCGGTGCAGTCCGGGCGTTGATGGTTGTTGAGTGAGTGGAGGACGGAGGTTCACTTTCCCCAGCAATGACAACTTTACGCTGTTTCCAATGTAGCTCGTGCTGCATTTATGTTTCCTAATTTTGTCGGATAAATATTTTAAATCCACAATTCCTTGTTGGGTCCAAGCCGTGTCTCCTCCAAACAGCAAACATGGAAACAGAAAAGTGAATTCCTAGCTACACTTGCTGTTAGCCAGTCCGTTAGCTGAAACCACGTAACACAAAATTACGATTTTGTCGTTTGTCCTTTTGTATTATTTGAACATCGTTTGGATGATGTGTTCCCAATCTCTGTATTTCCATTTATTCCTCCAAATTGATTAGAAAGTAAATAATCCACCTCGTTAATGTTCATGCTAACGCCCGCCATACTACGAACTAGCCTCACTGTACTGTAGCTACTGCGCTGTGATTGGTCGAAGGTCATTGCACTGTAGCTACTGCGCTGTGATTGGTCGAAGGTCACTGCACTGTAGCTACTGTGCTGTGATTGGTTGAAGGTCACTGCACTGTAGCTACTGCGCTGTGATTGGTCGAAGGTCACTGCACTGTAGCTACTGCACTGTGATTGGTCGAAGGTCACTGTACTGTAGCTGCTGCGCTGTGATTGGTCGAAAGTCACTGTACTGTAGCTGCTGCGCTGTGATTGGTCGAAGGTCACTGCACTGTAGCTACTGCGCTGTGATTGGTCGAAGGTCACTGCACTGTAGCTACTGCGCTGTGATTGGTCGAAGGTCACTGCACTGTAGCTACTGCGCTGTGATTGGTCGAAGGTCACTGCACTGTAGCTACTGCGCTGTGATTGGTCGAAGGTCACTGTACTGTAGCTACTGCGCTGTGATTGGTCGAAGGTCAGCCTTTGGCCTGAATAAATTTAGCCCATTCACAGGAAACAACCCAGGATAAATCATATATCCTGGGTTGTTTCTGTCACTGTTTGGTGCTGTTGCTGCTCTAGGTTCTACCAAAATTCAAAACAATATGTTCTAAGGTTTTTAATAATAGTTTTTCATCTTTACTGTAAAAGATAGGGGGGGCTGGGGGGGCTTAGCCCTGTTAGCCCATATACACAAGTTCTATACTGGTGTGTGTATAGTGTGTGTACAGTGTGTTACAATGTGTGTACAGTGTGTGTTCAGTGTATAATATATCAATATAAACAATCAATAACTGATGTATTTTCTCTCTCAACAGGAAACTGAAGACAATCTGTTGGACAGTTTTTATTTAATACTTTGAACTTCATGTGTTCTTTAATAACTCTGTAACTTGTTCTCACCATTATTGTTTATAGTTTTTCGCAATCACTTTACACACAACTCTGTTATTGATCAGTGGAATAAATAAACCTCTGCAGTGTGTGTGTGTGTGTGTGTGTGTGTGTGTGTGTGTGTGTGTGTGTGTGTCACTGTCCCTCAGCCTGTGTTATGTAGGATTGTAGTCCGTCCACATTATCTGAGGAGCTGAAATAAAGATATTATTGGACATACAGTATGCTCCTGATGGTCTGCTGGATGTGTGACTATATTTCACTGAATAAAGTCACTGTTTTATTGTGATTATGAGTCAGAGGGTTACACTTTAATTTCACACTGCACACTACTACTACTCTCAGAAATATATAATTAAACAGTCTGTTAATAAAATATATAATTAAACATTCTGTTAATAAAATATATAATTAAACAGTATGTTAATAAAATATATAATTAAACAGTATGTTAATAAAATATATAATTAAACAGTATGTTAATAAAATATGTAAGTAAACAAAATATATAATTAAACTGTCTGTTAATTCAGGAGTTTGTAGGTTTAAATTCAAACATCTTTTATTTTATAATGAAGACTATATCCAAACATCAGTGTGTGTGAATGGGAAATGGACCTGTACTTGTATAGAGGCTTTCTAGTCTTCCGACCACATTCACCCTTTCACACACATTCACTCAGTTATGGCAAAGTCCATTAAACGGAAACTAACTTATTCATACACATTCACAGCAATTCCGGTTCAGTATCTTGCTGAGGGTTGAGCGTGAGGATCCGGGAATCGAACCAACAACCTTTCGATTAGTGGACGACACACTCGTCCCCTAATTGTATCAAACAGTGTAATAAATACAGGACAATGATTTTAACCACCATTCTGAAGCATCCTAATGACCCTGATTCATTGGGAACAGCTGTTTTAATCAACTCAACAGGTGAAAAACAGAAGTTCTCTAGAGCTGGTTTGTGGACAGTCATGGCTAAGACAAAGGAGCTCACTGAGAACCTGTGGCTGCGCATTGTGGCTGCTCACTAATCAGGAAAGGGCTATAAAGCCATATCTAAATGTTTTCAAGTTCCAGTGGCTACAGTGCAAAGTATTATTAAAAAATACAAGACATTCCGCACTGTGGGAAATCTCATAGGACGTGGTCGGAAGCCAAAAGTGACACCTGTGCTGGCCAGGAGGATAATGAGAGAGGTGAAAAATAATCCAAGGATCACCACCAAGGCCATCCTGGTGAATCTGGGCTCTGCTGGTGGCAACGTCTCAAGGCAGACAGTCCAACGGACACTGCACAGTGCTGGGTTCCATGGACGCAGTCCAAGGAGGATGCCACTTCTCCAGATAAGGCAAAACTCGTTTTCTGTGCGCAGTGTCTTCACGCAGTCAGAAGCGCTGTTCACAAGTGTCACCGCAGTGAACAAGTCCATATCTTTGGCCTGTAGTAGTCTGTTAGGTGGCTCGAAAAGTGACAACAGTTTCATAACAAGGTGCGCAACGACAACATCCGGCGTCGGTGTCATATCCGATTTGGCAGAGGAGACTGTTGGTGGGCTTTTCAACCACTTACGAATATCCATGATGAACTAGAAATGAAATAGTAAGCCGGCAAAAACTCATTGTATGAATAATTTTGGGCTTGACTGTATGTGGTATATTATTTATATATAAATATGGTATAATGTTCGTTCACACTGACGTCATGTTTTTGTTTGTGACGCTGTGGGAGCTGTCCGCTTGTGCGCAGGCGCAGTGCGCAGTGTTTTATTGTGAAGGCTGAGCGGAAACGCTGAGTGCAGTTTCCGCTTCCTGTGTAACCGAAAGTAAAGTTGAGTTAGTCAGCGGACGGTCCGGAGCTCCGGTACACCGACACAAAGTGAAGAAGAGGAACGATGAAGATGTTGCTGCTGTCTGTGATCCTCGTGCTCGGTAAGCTTCAACTCCCTGAGTGTGTGTGTGTGTGTGTGTGTGTGTGTGTGTGTGTGTGTGTGTGTGAGTGTGAGTGTGAGTGTGAGTGTGTGCGTGTGTGTGTGTGTGTGTCTGTGTGTGTCTCTGTGTGAGTGTGAGTGTGTGTGTGTGTGTGTGTGTGTGTGTGTGTGTGTGTGTGAGGCAGCAGGGCGTTTCCCGCTCAGCGCCCAACGGACGCTCGTGCTCTCTGCTGCTCCCCGGAAACAGCGTGAAGGACGCGTCATCAATATTCTGATCAATAATAATAATGATTCAATAATAATTATTGATGGAAGCCGCTGTGTACATTACTGTCACTCTGGAAACTACTGAGGAAGACTCCTCCTCCTCCTCCTCCTCCTCCTCCTCCTCACAGCCTCTGGCTCACTTCCTGTTAACTAGTTTCCTCACACACACACTCAGTGTTTGTGTAACGGACCAATCAGAGGCAGAGTAACAGCTCTTATAATACACTCAGTGTTTGTTTATTGGACCAATCAGAGGCAGAGTAACAGCTCTTATAATACACTCAGTGTTTGTGTAACGGACCAATCAGAGGCAGAGTAACAGCTCTTATAATACACTCAGTGTTTGTTTATTGGACCAATCAGAGGCAGAGTAACAGCTCTTATAATACAATATGTAATACAGTGTAAGAACATGTACACAGGACTCACCAGCAGGGGGCAGCACACAGTCTACTGATTATAATATGAATGATACAGTGCTTTCATTAACTAGAACACAATTTATTTTTATTTAACAGTGATGTCACACTCTGATTTATTGATTCTACAAACTCATCAATAATCAATAATCATTAATGCAGTTATTGTAGCAGGTCAACCTTTTTAATGTCCCCCCTGCAGCCTGTGATTGGATGAACAACGAGCTCATATAAAGAAACTGTGTGTCTGTCCTTACAGTTACCCAGCATGCCTCTGGAGTGGGGGAGATTGAGGAGAAGGAGGGGATTGAGGGGGAGGAGTCTGTGGTTCTGCCCTGTGAGGCTCCTCCTGATGTCACTGTTAAATCTGTGGAATGGAGCCGCTATGAACTCAATCCCTCCACTGTTCATCTACGTCAAACCATCAATAATACAGAGAGAGATGTTCTTAAAGACCAGAACCCGTCCTACAGAACCCGCACAGAACTACAGACGGACGCTCTGAAGACTGGAGACGTCAGCCTCACTCTGAAAACCCTTCGACTGCCAGACAGAGGAATGTACAGATGCATCGTCCGTTGGGGTATGGGAGAGAGTAAACAGACTCAAGTTTACCTGAATATCATCAGCAAGAGAGAAGGTTGGTTCCACTCCTCATAATCAATGAGTCTGCAGGTATTAGACCAGATCAATCAGTCTGCCGGTAATAGACCAGATCAATGAGTCTGCAGGTATTAGACCAGATCAATCAGTCTGCAGGTATTAGACCAGATCAATCAGTCTGCAGGTATTAGACCAGATCAATCAGTCTGCAGGTATTAGACCAGATCAATCAGTCTGCAGGTATTAGACCAGATCAATCAGTCTGCAGGTATTAGACCAGATCAATCAGTCTGCAGGTATTAGACCAGATCAATCAGTCTGCAGGTATTAGACCAGATCAATGAGTCTGCAGGTATTAGACCAGATCAATGAGTCTGCAGGTATTAGACCAGATCAATCAATCTGCAGGTATTAGACCAGATCAATCAGTCTGCAGGTATTAGACCAGATCAATCAATCTGCAGGTATTAGACCAGATCAATCAGTCTGCAGGTATTAGACCAGATCAATCAGTCTGCAGGTATTAGACCAGATCAATCAGTCTGCAGGTATTAGACCAGATCAATGAGTCTGCAGGTATTAGACCAGATCAATGAGTCTGCAGGTATTAGACCAGATCAATCAGTCTGCAGGTATTAGATCAGATCAATCAGAGAGTTCAAAGGTCAGTGAAGGTCTCTCTGTGTGTTTCTGTTACAGTCGAACTACAACTACAGAAGAGAACCAGAGACACAGTGATCGGTGTCAGTGTGCCTCTGATCTTTATCATTGTGGTTGTTGTTGTTCTGTTCCTGGTATATCGTCATGGATACATCAACTTCAAAGGTATGTGTGTGTGTGTATGTGTGTGTGTGTGTGTGTATGTGTTATAGTGTGTGTGTGTGCGTGTGTGTGTATTGTAGTGTGTGTGTGTGTGTGTGTGTATTGTAGTGTGTGTGTGTGTGTGTGTGTATTATAATGTGTGTGTGTGTGTGTATTATAGTGTGTGTGTGTGTGTGTATTATAGTGTTTGTGTGTGTGTGTGTGTATTATAGTGTGTGTGTGTGTGTGTGTGTATTATAGTGTGTGTGTATTATAGTGTGTGTGTGATTATAGTGTGTTTGTGTATTATAGTGTGTGTGTGTGTGTATTATAGTGTGTGTATTATAGTGTGTGTGTGTGTGTATAATATAGTGTGTGTGTGTGTATTAAAGTGTGTGTGTGTATTATAGTGTGTGTGTGTGTGTGTGTGTGTGTATTATAGTGTGTGTGTGTGTGTGTATTATAGTGTGTGTGTATTATAGTGTGTGTGTGTGTGTATTAAAGTGTGTGTGTGTATTATAGTGTGTGTGTGTAGTGTAGTGTGTGTGTGTGTGTGTGAGTGTGTGTGTATTATAGTGTGTGTGTGTGTGTGTGTGTGTGTATTATAGTGTGTGTGTGTGTGTGTGTGTGTATTATAGTGTGTGTGTGTGTGTGTGTGTGTGTGTGTTATTATAGTGTGTGTGTATTATAGTGTGTGTGTATTATAGTGTGTGTGTGTGTATTATAGTGTTTGTGTGTGTGTGTATTATAGTGTGTGTGTATTATAGTGTGTGTGTGTGTGTGTGTATTATAGTGTGTGTGTGTGTGTGTGTATTATAGTGTGTGTGTGTGTGTATTATAGTGTGTGTGTATTATAGTGTGTGTGTGTGTATTATAGTGTGTGTATTATAGTGTGTGTGTGTGTGTGCGTGTATTATAGTGTATGTATTATAGTGTGTGTGTGTGTGTATTATAGTGTATGTATTATAGTGTGTGTGTGTGTATTATAGTGTGTGTGTGTATTATAGTGTGTGTGTATTGTAGTGTGTGTGTGTATTATAGTGTGTGTGTGTGTATTATAGTGTGTGTGTGTGTGTGTGTGTGTGTGTGTGTATTATAGTGTGTGTGTGTGTGTATTATAGTGTGTGTGTATTATAGTGTGTGTGCTTGTGTGCGTTTTTCTATCCTGATGGGGACCACAACCTGACTTTTCACTCACGCGGTGGGGACCAGTTTTCACAGGCACGAGCATTGCAATCAATAGAAAACAGCCTCCTGATAGGCCTAGTGTGTTTTTTTGAAAAAAAATTGGACCCCATGAAGTTAGTTTTCACGACGGGGTGTGTGTGTGTGTATGCGCGCCAGTGGTCATAGATGGTATTGCAATGTGTAAGTTTGCACCGGTGGGGCCATTTTCCTGACAAAGTGTGTAAGTGTGTATATCAAAAAACCTCATATCGCATACAGATTAATGCAATTTTAAGTGATCAAAGTTTGATATTATGAAATTATTTGCAAAAGGGAAGCAATTTAATCACTTTAACTTACTTTGAAAGCAGTCTCATTCTTTTTGTTAGCTGTATGTATGTAAAAGTATAAAACATACTTGCACATACACATTTAGAAATAAATAAAAGGTGGTCAAAGGTCAAGGTCAAAGTGACCTCACAAAACATGTGTTAGTCCATAATTCCATAATTCATACGCTAATTAGCCAATTTGGTACAAATATAAAGTGGTGACATTTTATATCCAAGAGGTCAAAGGTCAGTCTCATTCTTGAAATCTTGCTATCTCAGGAAAGCCTCTAGGGAATTCCTTCAAATTTGGCAAAAAGCATTCACTTGGACTCAAGGATGATCTGATTAGATTTTGATGGTCAAAGGTCAAAGGTCAAGGTCAAGGTGACCACACATAACATGTATCAGGCCATAATTCAAGAATTCATATGCTCATTATGACAAAGAAGTGTCCAATTAGGTAAAAATATAAAGTGATGACATTTCATATCCAAAAGTTCAAAGGTCCGTCTCATTCTTGTGAGCCTGCTAGCCTTTAGAGTATTCCTTCAAATTTGGCACAAGCATTCACTTGGACTCTAATTATGACAAACTTCACACAAATGTCTAAAAGGCTACAGTAATTTTTTGGCTTCACCAGTCAACCATTTCATGAGATCTTCTCTGCAATATGTAATTACTGAGTGGGGATATATCGGTTACAGGTATCACGGTAAAGTACGGTAAAATTCCTGATGGTAAAGTTTTAATTACCATGCTAACCATGGTAGATAATCACAGAGTGGAGAACTCGCGAGAGACTTTATCCAAGTCTCCTACACAGCCGCAGTGTTTTTCTGTCTGAAGTCTGGGCATATTTTGTCGTCTATAAGAATGTCTGTGACATGCTTTGGTCAAAATACCATAAGGATGAAGCACCACAGCAGTTCAATCACCCTGTCAAAACAGCCCTGTTCAGAAAATTCGGGTTTGAGTGCCTGTCTCCAACGCCAGCACGCTTCACGCTACCATGACAACAGTTAAACGTGAACCCTGGGAGAAAGATGGCAACTGGAGGAAACTTTGTGGTCCAACCATATATGTTTGAACCTGAGTCAGACCCTGAACAAGAAAGAGTTACCGAAGTAATTTGTAATGCAGTAAAAGCAAATACTGTCTCATAATGTTTTACTTTGTATCCTTTGTACCGACCAGCTGCATCATAAAGTAACGTAACGTAACGTAACGTAGTTCAACGAGCGGAACAGCTGATGAGGCTTGCCACTACAGTTTGTTAGCTCAGAGGTCACGTCTCTGCTTATTCTAGCAGCGACACACAAGCATAGTACTTCATGAAAAGCATGCACGTTTGCCAAAATACAGACGCACATTAAGTCAATTTCCCCCCAACCACAAAGCACACACAACAGTAACGGTAACTTTTACCGAGTCGTCCTCCTGCACTGAGATACTGGCAGCGGGGTATCACGTATAACGTTGGGTGAATCTCTATAAAAATATCAGCAGGGAAGAATATGGTTATAAGTTACCATAAGTAACCTTATAAGTTTGAAGTGCATCTTGCACACATTTAACAAAATTTAACGTTAACAACAGAATAACTGTTATGTTAGCGTCACTGAGGCTCCAGCAGTTAACAGCAGTTAGCGTTTGCTAGCGTTACACAAACAATGAAAAACAAAGCATAAACTCTTAAAAATACTTAGTTTCTTCCTCTGCCATCTTGCCACAGACAGTTGGTACTGCTCCCTCTTTCAGCAACAGTGTTGGGACAGTCCAGCATTGTACTGACCAAGGTTCATTGCCGTCATATATAAAATTTATCCACAGGACTCCTAAATCCTCTGAGGCTGGGACTCAGAACAGAACAGTTAGCATACTTTTGCTCAGACATAAGGCCGCTCTTCCGCTCCTCTGCTCCCTCGCCGCACTCTCGCCTTTTTATCTGGACAATGGTGGAGCGCTGCTAGGCAACGTCTGCGGTGAAAGTTCGCAATCAGGGAATGTGACGCCACACGCCCTGCGAAGTCAACATTAACTGCTTTATCTCCGGTATTTTGACTGAGGCACCCCACAAAAAAAATACTGGAGTCATCTGTTTTCACACTTTGCCTGCTGATAGGCCCTCCAGAGTCCCAAATGTAAATAATCAATCGATTAAAAGTTGGTTTTACATAATATGTCCCCTTTAAAGTCAGCCAAGTTATCAACCTCATTTACATGTAATATCTAACTGCTATGCTACTGGTCTTGAAATCACTAAATGGTTTAAGTCCAGAATACACAAATGACATGTTGGTAGAGTATAAATCCAGTAGGTCTCTGAGATCTACTGATTCAGGTCAGATAGTGGCGCACAGAGTTCAAACTGGACAGGGTGAAGCAGTATTTAGTTGTTATGCTGCACACAACAAACTACCAGCAGAGCTGAGGGGTATTGCACAAAAGTAGAATAAAGAAATCCAGGATAATTGAACAAGCGCCTTGACCTAGCCTAGTCGGCGCATCCTGGTTTAATTGGTTGCACGTTTGCCGAGCCAGAATTAAAAGGTGCGGCTATGTTAAGCCAGGTGTAGATAGTCAGGATAAGTGCGTGTTCACGGCATACTGAAATAGACCTCGCGATCGCTCACAGAATCACCGACGGGAACATGGATAAGAGTCGCGTTCATATTTCACGGCCGCTCCTGATGGAGTTCTATGAAGAGGTGAAAGATATCATAAGAAAAAAAGGCAATACCAACGCCATAATTAAAGAAAGAGAAAAAAGCCTGGCAGACAATAGTGGACCGGCTTAATGCTTAAGTAGTCCAAAACTGTACAATGAATAAACAGTGCTCCACTGGAACTGTCATCATTAGGCTCCAATTAAAGGACTAAAGGAGTTACTGTAAGTCCACTAATCAACTGTTGTACACTTTGCTTTAAATGTGGCAAGTAGAGGTGCATGTTACTTAAATGTAGAGTATGATTAAGTGCAAACAATTATCTATTTTATCTTTCTATCCTTCATAAAGAACAAACTTGTCTGGCCATAAAAAGACCTGGCAGCAAGTTACATTAAAAATGTTGAAAAAGTTAAATATAAATAACATTTTACAGGCTGGTCAGTGACTATAAAGTAGATAACAGTGAACAAATGAGGTGAATAGATTAGGTATCTGCTGACATGTTGAATGTCTGTATGATTGTAGCAGTTAAAAAAGCCCATAGAACTGGCACAGGGGGCGGCCCACCAAGCCAGGATATGTGCTGCAAATGGTTCCTTTATTGAGGTTCTCTGCATCCCCAACAGAATAAAGGAAGCTCCCACTTGCTAAACATCTCAATGTAACACAGACCATCTGTGGTACAGTGAGAACATGGCTTCCTGCCGTCTGGTGCTGTATTTTTTGGACCCAGCAGCCTA